AGGCAGGAGACTCGCTTGAGCCCAGGAGTTGGAAGTTGCTGTGAGCTGTGATGCCACAGTACTCTACCCAGGGGGACAGCTTGAGACTCTGTCTCAAAAAAAAAAAAAAAGAAAAATGTGCATGTATTAAAGGTCTATGTTACTTTATACTTTTTGGAAAGAGGCTGTATATAGACATAAATGTATATAAAAATCAGCAAAACACATAACCCTAGCACCCTTCTAGCTAACCTCTGATTAAAATACATTAGCATGTAAGCTGCATGAGGGTACAACACTGGGCAACATTAATTATCTTCTGATTTAAGAACATTTTCAAAATATGTGACAGTGATGTTTTTTGAAAAATACAATTCTCCAAGAACTAAGAAAGTAAATGAGACGCACATCAATACTCTATTTCCTTTTAATAATTCAACAATTTTTTTCAACAAAAAAAAAAAAAAAAAAAATTTTTTTTTTTTTTTGAGACAGGGTCTCTCACTCTACTACCGGGACTAGAGTGAGTCGTCATCATAGCTCACACCAACCTCCAACTTGTGTGCTCCAACCTCCAAAAGCCCCCAACTTTTGGGCTTAAGTGATCCTGCCACTTCAGCCTCCCAAGTAGCTAGGACTATAGGCACACTCCACCCATGCTGGCTAATTTTTCTATTTGCTGTAGAGGGGGGGGTGCCTCACAGGTTTCTATTACTAATTATAGTCTTAGGAGAGACAAGAGCTGGCATAATGTTCAGTATCTAGTACAGGCATTAACATTAATAAATGTTAACATACAATAGCAGAATATAAAATGTATTTAATACTGACTTTCATATTGCAAATCATAAGTAATTTGATTTGGGTTTATTCCATTTTATATTCCCAATACTAAGTATTGTATGACATATGATAGACCTCAATAAATGTTTAATGAAGAACACAAGATGCACTTACCTTTGTTAGGCACATATGTAAATACATACTCTAAGAGTGACTCAGGCTATGATACTGGTACCTAGTACATAACGTATTGCTATTTGAAGAAAAGGACTAGTAACTGAAAAAGTAATTTAATGGTAAGTACAATTTGGGTAGAGTCATAATGGTCAGCTGAAGAATCCCCAAATTTGTGAAAATAAGCATGCTCAGAAGTGAGATCTGAGAACTGTTGAGAGCTCACAATGTTTTGTTTTAGGTAATCAGGAAAAATAAAAATAAGCTAACCTTGCAATTAAACATTAATCAACTGAAAAATGTTTTTGTATATATTTTGATAATCCAAATATACTACTATAAATCTCTGACTCATATTTAGGATAATTTTTAAGTGAAAGAAAAGAATAATTCTAGTTTGTTCACTCACACTAGAATTGAAATCTTACCAATACACTTTTGGAGTCTTTGTATTTTTTCACAATTTTTGCTTCTTTAAAACTGAGTGTATAGTTTTTTGCTTCTCGATTAAGAAGTTTCTGTATTTTCGGTGTCAATTTGGCCTTGGGTTTGAGGCGCACTCGAGCGTTATCCAGAACCAAAAACTGGAAACAGTATGGACACGTTTCTTCAAAAGTGCCCTTATCATCTAAAATTATACAAAGGAAACTCACAATCCAGCAAATCATGTTTTGTTACCTCAAACTGCCGATGTTATAAATATGAAAAACAAAAGTATATTAATATTTCAAATAGGCAGATATACATTCTCCTTAGGCAAAACAAAATATGAAAATTTTCAGAAAGACAAACTGGCAGTAATTCACTTTGCAACATACTGAAATTCCACCCATTCATTCCTTTCAGCAACAGACAGGCAAGCCTCCAACCTGTGCCAGCAAATCCCATTGGCTTTCAGATACATCTAAAAATTTAGCGACTTCTTATTACTGGCTACTAAAGTTAAAAAAAAAAAAAGTCTATTAAATTTCACCAACACATTTACAACAAAATACTAAATGACATTACGATTTTCTTTTTTACTTAAAAATAATTAGCACAACAAATACTTTTTGGCTACTTGCTGCTATTGAGCACTATGCTAAGTGCTAGGGATATACCAACCCTAGAAAGAGCTAAGGACCATGCTTGTACCTTAGCTCACCCAAGTGTTTAAAATAAAAAATCATTCATTTTACTAAGTTACTATTATTAAGTGCCAGACATTGTTCTTCCTAGAAATATAGCAGTGAAAAAGGACAAAAATTCTTGGAGGTGGACAATAAATATAACCACATAAAATGTTAAGTGCTAGTAAGAAAAAAGTAGAAGAGGGAAATAGGGAGTGTCAGTGGAGTCACTGTAATTTTAAATGGAGTGGCTAGAGACATTTACAGAGGCCAGAAGAGGGAAGAACTGAATGGAAGCAGATACGTGAGGCAAGAGTTCCAGGCAGAGGGACTGGCATCTGCAAAGGCCCTGGAACAGAACAGCAGGGAGGCCCAGTGTGGCTGAAGGTGAGTGAACAAGAGTAAGTCAGAGGGCCTTCTAGTACTTTTTTTTTTTTTGCAGCTTTTGGTCGGGGCTGGGTTTGGCATATGGGGCAAGCGCCCCACTCCTTTGAGCCACAGGCGCTGCCCAGCCTTCTAGTACTTTTAAAGGGATTTCACTTTTACTGTAGGAAGCCATTTGATAGTTTGTGGCAGAGAAGTGACATGATCTAGCTTTGGTTTTTATCAGAAACATTCTGGTTGCTGGCTTAAGAACAAGCCAGGCTGGGTGGCTCACGCCTGTAATCCTAGCATTCAGGGAGGCTGAGGCAGATGGGTTGCTTGAGCTTAGGAGTTCCAGACCAGCCTGAGCAAGAGCAAAGACCCCATCTCCACTAAAAATAGAACAACCAGCTGAGCGCTGTGGCAAGCACCTGTAGGTCCCAGCTACTCAGGAGTCTGAGGTAAGAGGATTGCTCCAGCCCAGGAGTTTGAGGTTGCTGTGAGTTAAGACGCCATTGCACTCTACCCAGGGTGACAGAATGAAACAAAACATAAAGAACAGACCAGTAGAAAGGCAAGGGAGCTGCTGGCAGGAATCCAGGAGAGAGGTGGTTATGGCCTGGCCCTCAGGGTGGCAGCAATAGATCTAGTGAGAAGTCGCTAAATTTTGGACACATTATAAAGGCAAAAGGATTTGCTGACATACAGGCGGGGACGGGCCGGTGGGTGGGTGGCAGGGGAATGCCAGGGAGTCAAGAATGGCGCCCAGGTTTTTGGGTTAAATAACCTTAAGGACTGAGTCATAATTTACAGTTGTCCAAGCTGTTAGGGTAAAGCTCAGGTTTTAGACTTAACTAAGTTTGAAATGCCTACCGGATATTCAAAAGAAGTTGTCAAGGAGACAGTAAGATATGATCCTAGAAGTTGGTGGAGAGGTCTGGGCTGGGTATATAAATTTGGACGTTCTCAGTATATGGAACTTAAAAACCATAAGAGTAGATAAATTCATCAAGGAAGTGATTGTAACTATAAAGGAGGTCCAAGGGCTGAGTACTGGGACATGACAAAATTTAGGAGTTGTCTAGCAAGATAAGGCGCATTAAGGAATCTGAATTTTTCACGAAACCGAGAAGCCCCTAGGGTATTTTTTTTAATGGGGGGTGGTGAGTCAACATCATTCCGAGCGCTGTGCGGAATGAAAGAGAGAGGGGCGACAAAAGTCTAACAAGAGACGGGTGTTCTCCTTACCGTGTGACGAACTGTAGGCCCAGCTGTAAAAGAGAAAAAGACTCGTGAGGGGCAAATGAACACCTCGCCCCTGACCTCCCGCTTCCTCTCCCGTCCTCTTACAGGAGATAGCGGGCCTGGCCCGGGCAGCTATCCTGTAGTCTCCGCGCCGCGGCCTCCAGGTAGTGCTTCTGCCTCATCGCCGCGGCCGCTTCCCCGCCACCGTCGCTTTCCCACCACTTGCCGGCCGCTGAGACCGGGTGAGAAAGGGAATCCCCGGCCGTCGACTTCCCGCGGTCGCAGTCGTCGGCGTCGGGATTCAAGATCCCTCCGGAAACAGGCACCCGCAGCTGAGAGGTTCCGGCTTCCTTGGAGCGCTGTCCGGCTACCGGCGTGCCCGGCCGGACGAGGCCCCGCCCCTCGGCCCCAGGCCCTCCCTCCAGGCACCCAGCGAAGGGTCGAGCCGGCGCAGAGCAGCTTTATCAGGCAGGTTGGGCACAATCCGGAGCTGATGGCGGCACTCGGCTCCTCTTATGTCTTTATACTAAGCACATGTACAAATGTGTAAGTACCCTACCCAGTACCACCACCACCACACACAAAAAAGTCAACACACACACAAAACAAAACTAAAAGTAGAATGTTAGTCCCTTGTTCTATAACTTGCCTTTTTCCTTAACAGCAGGCCACAGACATCATTTCAAGTTAGTATACACAGTTTTCACACATGCTGTGTGGTAGATTGATACCAGAATTTCATCTTCAGTAGGTTCTTGGTCTCGGTGATTCGAAGAATAAATCCGCGGACCACAGATCAGTGGTAAGACAGGATTTATTTACAGAAAAGGATACAAAAACACCACCACCACCACCACCACCCCCACTTTGCTCAGGTGTATATATAGTTGCATGGGGTTATTTGCAGAACTCAATTGTTACAATTGTAACATTTAGTGGGCGTGGGTCCTCTAAAGTTACATTCAGCCAGAACTCAATTGTTACATTTAGCTGCGTGGGTTGAGGCCAGGAAAGGAATGGATACAGTCCTTTCTGCTGGGGCAAGGTGAGTGAATGTATTAATGAATGGACACAGTCCATTCATGGAATTGAGGCCTAGGAAACTTACGTGAAATTGACCAGGTCTAAAAAAAGGTGGGGTTCCCCAATCAGTCAGAAGTTCAAGGGGAGGGAAACCTAAGGTGCTGGTGTTTCCCCAGGAGTTGTCTGGCGGAGCCTCGCACCCCCCCACCCCGCTAGCCAGTTGGTTCCGCTGGGGGCTGCTGCTGCACCAACACCGCCAGGGCTAAGGCGGCAGGTCCTCCAACTAAGCTCAGCTGGCTGGGGTGCCACCTGTCCTGTATGAAGAGGACAGTATTACAAAATGTAATGAATCATAATTTATTTAACCATTTTCTTACTGATGGATATAAAAAAATTTTTTTTTAGTGGTTTGCTAGTTTATACAGTATATCGGCAAAAATCTTGTGTATACTGGTGCTTTTTTAACTTTTAATTTTTATGGATATATGATAGTCATATATACATACAGTGTGTCTGTAATTTTATGGACACCCTGTATTTATGGGGTCCATGTGAAATTTTGATACAAGAATAATATATATCATGATCAAAGCAGGATATTGGGATATCCATCATGTAGGTGCTTTTCAGACCTAGAATTTAGGTCTGAATTCCTAAAAAAGAAATCACTGGGTAAAATGATATAAACCTTTTTTTAATTTGCCATATCATCCAAAAAAGGTTGTGGCAATTCATATTCCCAGCATCAATGTCTGGGAAAGCTGGGCCAAACTTGATGGGTAAAAGGCAAAGCTAATTTTCACATGTTTCTTAATGATTTATATTTTCTCTTGTGAAAAGAAGTGATTTGTTGGGTCGTTTATCAATTTCTAGGAAATATTTGTGTTTTGGGTAAATTCATCATCTGCTTTTCGTATATTATAATGTGACATATATCTTACTTGCCTCTTATTGTTGGCATAGTTTACAGGGGTTTTTTTGTGTTTTGAGTTTTTGCCAGGTAGAATTTTGTATGTGGCCAAACAAATTACCCTTTTCATATTAGATCTGGGTTTCCCCATGTAATTTTAAAAGGCCTGCTTTTTGTCAAGATTAGACAACTAACAATTCAATGAAATGTTTTTCTCATACTTTTGCTGGTGTTATTTCTTCCATGCACTTATTTAACCATATAAAATTTATTTTCACTTCAGAGTCAGGTAAAGCATCTGCCATTTTTTCTTTTTCTTTTCTTTTCTTTCTTTCTTTCTTTCTTTTTTTTTAAGACAGAATCCCTCTGGGTAGAGTGCTTTAGCATCATAGCTCACAGCAACCTCCAACTCAGGCTGAAGTGATCCTCTTGCTTCAGTTTTTTCTACTTTTAGTAGAGATGGGGTCTTGTTTTTTTTTTTTTTTTTTTGCTCAGACTGGTCTGGAATTCGTGTGCTCAAGCAATCCACCTGCCTTGGTCTACCAGAGTGCTGGGATTACAGGCACGAGCCACTGTGCCCAGCCATTTTTTCAAAATGGATGGAAAGTTATGCAAAGACCCTTGCTGGGTAATCTAGTCTTTTTCCATTTGAATTGAAGTAAAAATAATACGTAACAGGCTCTGAGTATGTGCCAGGCACTTTCCCAAGCATCTTAATATGTATTAATTCATGTAATCCTCATGACAACCATGTGGCATAGGCAAAATGCCACTTCACCATATAGAAGCTTGTTTTTTTAATTAAACAGAGTTGCAGGGTGGGCTCGCACCTATAATCCCAGCTCTAGGAGGCCAAGGCAGGTGGTTTGCTTGCGCTCAGGGGTTCCAGACCAGCCTCAGCAAGAGCAAGACCCCATCTCTTCTAAAATAGAAAAACTAGCTGGGTGTAGTGATGGATGCCTGTAGTCCTACCTACTAGGGAGGGTGAGGCAAGAGGGATCACTTGAACCCAGGAGTTTGAGGTTGTCACAGCACTCTACTCAGGGCAACAGAGTGGGACTCTGTCTCAAACAAAACAAAACACACAAAAATAGTTCCACACCACCATTTCTAGATCACTAACCAATAAAGCAGAAAAGAGAGAAAATGTGTGTGCATGTGCACACACCCACCTGCCCACCCCCACCCAGTCCTCTTGCCTCCCAGCATGTGGCCCCTCAGCTTCCTCTCCTCTCTTCTCTGAGCACCCTGCTCCTAGATCCCGATGCCTCCTTCAGCATCTCTACTTGCATTGCGGCTTGTCTTTTTAGATGCAATGTGACCAGAAAGCACTCTCTATTTCACCTACCAATCTGCCCTGCCGCCTGTCTTCCTCCATCTTAAACCTCCCCACCAAGTGACATCTTCCACCTTCCTGCCACACGCAGCTGGTCTGCTCACAGGTCCTGCCAGCTTTCCACCCAAAGCAGGTTATGACTCTGCCTGCTTCTAACCACACAGCCACACTTTTCTCTTGCCTATGCCCCTGCCACGGCCTGCTGTATTCTCTTCCTGCATCCTCTTTTACTTCTCCCAGCCCGTTCTCTATCAGGCAGACAGTGTGTCCCTCTTAAAATGTAAACTGTTTTTTGAATGCAGAATGTTCCTGCTCAGGTCCTCTCAAACTCACTCAATGCACTAGGAACATCAGCTCCTAGCCATGCCCTCCAGGGCCCTGGCTGGGCAGTTTGCTGCCTCCACCTCAGGCCTCACCTTGTCTCACCTGCCCACTTTCACGCTGTGCTTGCCTCGCTGGCCTTGTCTCATCTCTCAAACATGTCTCGCTGGCCTTGTCTCATCTTTCAAACATGTCGTTTGCTTGGACCTGTCCCTGGAGCCTTTGCTGTTCTCTGCTTTGGATGAGAATCCTTCCCATGGCTGTTTTTCCTCGCCATTCCAAGACAAAGCCTTCCTTGACTACTCAAATAAAAAATTCCTTCCTGCCCTCACTCACCAAGTCATTCTCTGCCATCATTGGTTTTTTCTTTTCTTTCTTTCTTTCTTTTTTTTTTTTAGAGACAGAGTCTCACTTTGTTACCCTTGGTAGAGTACCGTTGCGTTACAGCTTACAGCAACCTCCAGCTCTTGGGCTTAGGAGATTGTCTTGCCTCAGCCTCCCGAGTAGCTGGGCCCACAGGCACCTGCCACAACACCCAGCTATTTTTTTGTTGCAGTTTGGCCTGGGCTGGGCTGGGTTTGAACCCACCACCCTCAGTGTATGGGGCCAGTGCCCTACTCACTCAGCCACAGGCGCCGCCCTGGTTTTTTCTTTTTGTTGTCACAATAACTTTAGTAAATCACTTATTCACTCATTGTTTACCTGTTCCCCTCCAGAATAAACCCACAGTCCCAGAACTTGGTCTATCCTGTTGGCTATTCTGTACATGATCCCCAGCCCAGGGCCTGGGGTAATGCATGGCCTCAATAAGGATTGGTTGAATGCAAGAGTTCTCACAACGGCCCTGGAAGACAGGTGCTGTTGCCTTCTTTACTTCACACGTGGGGAGACTGAGGCCCAGATCAATGAAGTCACTGCTGGGGCCACACAGCTGGTATGACACTCAGCCCAGCTCCCTCTGGCTCTGAAGGTGATGCTCTTCCCATGCTCTCCTTGCCTGGTTCACCTGTTATAGACCTCCCAGCACATCACAAGCCCAGCAAGGAAGGATGTGTATCTGGGCCCTGATTTATGAAACAATTTAATTTTCTCTGCATCATTTCTCTGCTCCAAACCCTGCAATACGAGTCTAACTAAACCCTCCTGTCTAAGGTATCAAGTTGTCCTATTATATTTCATTGGCACCACTTCTCTTTTCTCTAGAAAACCTGCACTTTATTCCTACCCAGAAATTACTTTTTCAGTTCAGTTTAGAAGGCAGGATGAGTTCAAAGATTAGCTGGTGTGCCAGGATTCTGGTCAGTTAGTTAATCATTAGCTTTGTGACTTTGAACAAACTTTACTCAGCTTGGTTGTGCCTCAGTTGCTCAGTAACTAACTGTGGTTCCAGATAATTTCACATATCATTTGGGCACTCACTCCATGTGTCTGGAATGTGGGGGCAAGAGTACAAAAGGGATGGGGCCTTGCCTGATGACATTAGACCCCTACAAACCAGGGAAGGCCCAGTGGCCCCAAATACACAGCTGTCCCATGTCCCCCATGGAGCTTCTTCCATGCTCTACAGTGGAAGTCAGCGCCACTCCACTTCTTTCAAGAGGTAAATAGGCTCGGCACCTGTGGCTCAAGCAGCTAAGGCGCCAGCCACATACACCTAAGGTGGTGGGTTCGAATCCAGTCCGGGCCCGC